AAAACTAAAAATAGAACTACCATATGATCCAGTAATGCCATTGTTAAGTATATATCCAAAAGACCAGTATATTGAAGAGATATCTGCACTGCATGTTTATTGCATGGAGTACAGATTTACATTTACACTGCACAATAGCCAAGATTTGGAATCAACTTAAGTGTCTATCAGTGGATGAATGGATAAAGAAAATGTGGTAAATATATACAATGGAATATTATTCAGCCATAAAAATGGAATCCTGTCTTTTGCAACAATATGGATGGAACTGTAGGATATTAGGTTAATTGAAATAACCCAGGCACAAAAAGACAAATTTTGCATGTTCTCACTCACATGCAAAAATGAAAACAATTGAGATCATAGAGATAGACAGCAGAATGATGGTTATCAGAGACTGGGAAGGGTAGTGGGGATGGGGGGAAAGTATAGATGGTTAATGAGTGCAAAAATATAGTTAGAGTGAATAAGATCTAGTATCAGCATAACAGGGTGACTACAGTCAACAATAATTTATTATATACTTTTTTTTTTTTTTTTTTACTTTTTAGAGATAGGGTCTCACTGTATTGCTCATGCCAGAGTGCAGTGGCACAATCATAGCTCACTGCAGCCTCAAATTCTGAGCTCAAGTGATCTTCCTGCCTCAGTCTCCTGAGCAGCTAGGACTACAGGTATGCCCCACCTCACCCAGCTCATTTAAAAATTTTTTTTGTAAAGACGGGGTCTTGCTATGCTGCCCAGGCTGGTTTTGAATACCCGGCCTTAAGTGATCCTGCCACCTCAGCCTCCCACATTTTTATTGTATAATTAAAAATGACTGAAAATTGAATTGGAATGTTTCTAACAGAAAGAAATAATAAATGCTCAAGGTGGTGAATATCCCAATTACTTGGATACGATTATTACACACTCTGCGCCTGCATCAAAACATCACATGTACCCCATACATTTACACAGCTATTATGTATCCATACTAATTAAAAATCATAATAAAAAAAGAAGTAGGGTCTGATGACAGAGAAGACCCTGGTGGCCAAGATGAGGAAGCACATGGTAGGGGTCGGAGGGATGGTGAAGAGGACACAGTGGCCTGAGACTCTGGAGCAGAGGTGGTAAGGCCATCGGTGGGAGTGAGAAAATGTCAGTGAGAACAGCTGGGGCAATAGTAGGGAAGGCTGTGCTGGCAGAGGAGAGCCAGGGATGGGGTGGAAAAAGTGTGGTGGGGCAGGGCCCACTAGTCAGGAGGAGAGCATGAGGGATAATTGCTGGGAGCCTAGATGGGGGACAGAGCGGGCAAACAGACCTGCATGAGGCACTCCAGCAGGGATGTGACAAACAGGCCTGGTAGGGTCCACTGAGAAGTGAAGGCCAGTGCTCACTGCGGTGAGGAGAACCACCCCATGTCCCCATGTGGGGCAGTCCAGGAAGAGGGGTTTGGAAAGGATTTGGGCTTTTATCAGGTTATTTTGATGAGTGTTCCAAAGAAGTAGGGTTTGCTCTGGATTGGATGCTGTCAGGAGAAAGATAATTCTGTGACTGGTATCTTAATCAATGTTATCTAGAAGGAGGGAGAAATGAAATGAAGCTCAAGCTGTGATTGGCAAAGCAGCAGTGACCCACCTTAGCCAGAATAGGTGGATGCTTGGTTATTTTTGTGCCTTGAACCATATTCGTGTTTTGGTCTGCGCTCAGACATGACTCTAGAGTGGTCTTGTTTTTGCCTTGATCCATTACATTCAGAGCAGCTTTATCCGATGTTCATGTTCTGTGAAATTGCTTATGTTCAACAGAAGAACGGCACCTGTGAGGCCAGGGCAGCTCCTGGAAACACCAAGGCCTGAGAGTTCCAGGTCAGTTCCTGGCTGTCAGAAGCTGCTTTTTCTTTTCCTCAATCCCCCTCTTTAGTCAAGGGCAGGTGAAGTCATGCCACAGAATCCATGACATCCAGATTTTCACCACTGTCAAGACCAGGAGGATGTCTAGGAAGCATGGTCTGTAGTTGGACTAGAGCGAATCCCTCCTCCTGTTGCAGGATGAGTTGTTGACACCTTTGACGTGACAACGGGTACAGAGCAGTATTTCAGATTCTGGACGGCATACATCAACCAGCTGTAACACAGGCCATTACCGGAAACTAAAGGATGATGAGTCTTAAAACGGGTCTTAATGCCGGGATCCCAGATTATAAAACCCAGGTGAAGAAACATGTCCCAGAATCCAGATGGGTCTTTTGGGGAGTCAGGTCGCTTTTTTGTTTATCCTAGTATTTTCTGTTTTGCTTGCCCTGTAGTAAGTGCAGCAAGAAATGTTTGTGACAGTATCAAGTCCTCCTTGGCTAGCAGATAGAAAATCAAGTGTTCAATGGGCCTCAACATTCCTAGGTCCTGTCGTAATGATCTTGTCAGGATTATGCCACTGGCAGGTGGGACACATATTCGAAACATCCTCAGCAATATGCTTAAATTACCCTATCCATCTTGGTTCAATATTTTTGCCAATTCCTCTCTGCTATTGTGGGTAATATCACAAAATAGTTTTGCTAATTTCCATTTTTATTATGGCCATCTCCTTCCATAATGGCAAAGCATGTCGAGGCTCTTTAATTCTTTGTCAATTCTACAGGGGTTCCTGTAGTGGTTAGGTGATTTTTGTTGTTTCTAAAGCATTGAAGTCATACACTACTCCCACATCAAATACCTCCTATTGTATCAATATAAATATTTACTTTTGTAACGTGGCAGATCCGGGAGGGGGCAATTAATTTAGCCAAACTAAATGAATACGATTTCTGAGAAAAGCTTTGACTATGATGATATAGTCTACATAGCATTTCTTTTCCCCCAGGGGAGTCTGTTGCCCAGGCTATAGTGCAGTGGCACAATCACAGCTCACCGCAGCCTTGAAATCCCAGGCTGAAGCAATCTTCCCCGCTCAGTCTCCAGAGCAGCTGGGACTACAGCAAGTGCTACCACACCAATTTTTTTTTTTTTGGTTCTAGACATGGGGTCTCTCTGTGTTGCCCAGGCTGGTCTCAAACCCCTGGCCTCAAGCCATCCCCCTGCCTCAGCCTCCCAAGTTGCTGGGAATGAAGGCATGAGCCACCACGCCTTACTATACTTGGCAATTTTTACTTTCACTTTTTAAGTGTGAATAATCTAAAACCACAATGAAATCAGTTCTCCAAGGGAATCTCTCAGTCTGTGAAGGGTACGGATAGTTCCCTAAGAGGGGTAAGCAATTATGGGCGGTTGCTTTTTTGGGTGAAGGAAGTGGCTGGGTTTAGAGTGTTGTAATACAGGCCAGTGATGTGTAAAAGCAAAGCAACAATAATTCACGGGAGGCTAGGTAAGTGGCTGAAAAATCCTGAGCGTTTATTGTCAGTAGAAGATCCTGCATAGCACAGCATGGGAAGCTGTCACGTTTAGTGGAAACCCTGGAACTAAATCAACAGTTTTCACTTTTGTTGCTGTTGCTATAGTTCTCAGATGAGGTGAGTATGTCTTGGCTACTGGATCTTATGAAATAAGCAATGGAACCCTGGTGATTTCCACTTAGTTGAATCAGTACCCTAGTGCCTGTTCAGCTTTATAATACAAAGAAAAGAGGTATGGAGGACTGGTGAATATAGAATAATGGAAATAATCTTCTGGGAGACAGTAATTGTACTACTGTTTTTCTCTTTCTTTTGAGACAGATCTCACCCTGTTGCCCAGGCTGGAGTGCAGTGGTGCAGTCATAGTTCACCACAGCCTCAAACTCCTAGACTCAAGTGATCCATCTTGCCATCCTAAAGCGCTAGGATTACAGGCATGGAAGTGGGGTGGGGAGTGGGGGTGTGCACCATGCTCAGCTGTTTATATGATCTGATCTTTAAAGTGATCAACAAATTTTCCTTTTTCCAGATAATAAAGAAAACTAGAGAACAGGAAATGAAGAATTGTTTCTTTTTCTTCTTGAGCACTTATTTCATGTCATTTTAATAATTCTGAGGCAAAAAATAAACAGAAATAATATCCAAAGACATTTTCAGTTTAATTGATTGCCATTCTAATACATAAAGGTAAGAATTTTAGTGACCAGTGTTTTGTATCTGACTCTTATTTTAGAATTTCCAGTGTTCCAAGGATTCCTTATTAATTATTTACCTCAGGTCTTGAGAGAGAAGTTTTGATATAGAAAAGCAGATTTTGACAAATATACACAAAGAGTGGTAAATGGTTTAGACAGTAATTTGGACTCTTGAAAATTTTATCAAGCTGTGTGATCAAAAAGCCAGTATTTATCAATCCTCAAGAATGGAAAGGGATACTACTTATGTTAAGCAAAATTATCTCATTTTGAGAAAAACAAGACAATCTCCTCATAAAGGTTTCTTTGCTTTTTGTTTGAAGGTACCTCCCAAAGAAGCAACCTTGTTCATGTCAAAAGCTCCCTAAAATGGCCAGTGCACTTCCAAATTGTCCTTGGTGAAAGTGTGCCAGTTAGATAATAGGCATACTAGTTAGTATTCTTATGATTAAAAAAAAAAAAAAAAAAATGAAGAAAGTTTAGCCTGAAAGAGGTACAATTTTAGATTGAGGAGACCCTAAGAGAACTGCAGTGGTCCTTAAGGGTAGTGTTTGGGTAACTATCTGTTGAGTTTCACCAAATGCCATGGTCACCATTAGATGCCAGGCAAAACCTCCTGAAAGAAGGCAGGGGACACTAAACAAAGCAATCCTCAGAGACACAAAGTCAAGACTGACGAATAAGCCCTTATAGGGTTTTGAAACGATGATCTGAGGCAAAGGAATGCCAATCTGAAGAGCCCTTCTAAACTACACAGCCCCTGTGGTAAAGCTCCAGGATTGACTTATCAGGCTTGGCTGGCTGACTTTAAGGAGGCCTCCATGAGCCCTGCCTCCTTGTGGGCACACTTCTGTGTAATTCCTCCCTTTCTTGACTGTAGGTAGGAGGTGCAACTTGTTTTTAATGAATGGAATGCAAAAAAGGTGACGCGAGGTACATGATTGCATTTATTTGATTAAGAGTGTAGTGCCCATCTTGCTAGTCTCTCTCCAATGCTGGTTTTGGATGAAGCCACTTGCCATGAATCCTACAGCCATAAGGAAACAAATTCTGCCAACAGCTGGAGAGTGCTTGGGAGCAGATCCCTTCCTTGCCAAGGCTACAATGAGCACCTGGCCAGACATGTTTTTCCAGCATCGAGATCCCAAGCAGGCTACCCAGCTAAGCCATGCCTAGACTTCTGACCCACAGACGTTGTGAGACAGTAAGTGTGTGTTGTTTTAAGCAGCTACGTTTGTGGTAATTTGTTCTGCAGCAATAGAAAGTTAATGCCACTGGCCTATGCCCATATTTTCACTAAAGACTTTTCTTCTTGTAGACACTTTTACTTCTAAATATTCAAGTTAACATTTAGATCTCTTCTTCTAGCTATGGGCTGTTGAGATTAAAATTAGTTACTCAAACTTTCTTACCGTTTGAGTAAAAATTAACCATGGTATTTTCCTCAATTTATACAATATTAATATTAGTACACTAACGCCAGGTGTGATGGCTCACACCTGTATTCCCAGTACTTTGGGAGGCCGAGGCAGGAGAATCATTTGAGATTAGAAACTCTAGATCGGCGTGGGCAACATAGCAACACCTTGGCTCTACAAAAAATTTTAAAAAATACTAGCCAGGAGTGGTGGCGTGCATCTGTAGTCCTAGCTACTCAGGAGGTTGAGGTGGGAGGATCACTTGAACACAAGTGTTGGAGGTAACAGTGAGCTATGATCATACCACTGCCTCCAGACTGGGTGACAAAGACCCTGTCTCTAAAGAAAAAAAAATTAGCACAGTAAAAGAGATGGTACTAAATTAGCAGAGGCTTCTTTTATTTACACAGACATCTTCAACCCCACATAGGCAAGGACACTATATGTTGTGGCATACAGGTTTCTCTCCAACTAGACGGAGCTCTTAGAAGTTAGTGTCCTTTGGCTCCCCTCCAGGCCTTACACACACTGGATATTCAATAACTATGGAATTACAACTGCAATCGCCTTTAAGCTTATTAGTGGGATCTGGTTTCACTGTGGGTGGCACTTCCACTTTAATGCAATGATCAAAAACATTAAGATGTATGACAGGGTGGATACTGGGACAATGAGCATGACGATGTCATTGTTGCCAAGCCAAATTTTACAAGAGGCAAAGGAAAGCAAACGGTAACTAGAATGCAGAGGTTCTTCATCATCATCTTCAATCAGCTGTCACAGAATTTCCCACTATCGAACCCCCCTTACAGTTCTTACTTCTCCCCACCCCTCCAGGTATCTGAAATAGAAAAAAAAGGAAATAATTCTCCCTGAGAGATTTCTGCCTCCTCCTTTTTTCTTTTCAACAGCAACCTCAACTGTTGACAGAGGTTCCTTAGGATTCAAAGAACAATTTTGAAGCTGAAAACAGAATAGTCTGTTTTTGAATAAATCCTAAAATATTTTCATTTCACACCCTTGTTCCATGAGGAAAAAATTTACATAGAGACGAATATGTTTTGTTCAGGCAGTGTGCAATAATAAAGTTTAGGCCAAATTAGGTTTATAATTAGAATATAAATGCTGGTTTGGTACTATATTTAGGGATAAAATGAACCCATATCCACATATGTACTTATAGACACTATAGCACAAAACTAGCTGGCATCCAGTGTTTCTTGACTTTGGCTGAATCTCTGTTCCCCAGAACAGACTGTAAGTTCCAAAAGGTGGGGATCATGTTTTGGTCAGCTTTGGATTTTTCCAACACATTGCACAGTGCTCATGCAAAGAGCCACTCACAGAAATTGTCGAATTCACTTAAATAAGAAAACAATTTTGGCTGGGTACAGTGGCTCATGCCTGTAATCCCAGCATTTTGGGTGGCTGAGGTGGGAGGATGGCTTGAACCCAGGAGTTTGAGATCAGCTTGGACAACACAGTGAGTCCCCATCTCTATGAAAACACTTTTAAAAATTAGCTGGGTGTGGTGGCACACTGCCTGTAGTCCTAGCTACTCTGGAGGCTGAGGTGGGAGGATCACTTGAGTCTGGGAGGCCAAGGCTGCAGTGAACTGAAATCTTGCCACTGTATTCCAACTTGGGCGACAGAGCAAGACTCTGTCTCAAAAACAACAACAACAATAATGCAATTTTTATAAAATAGTTGATGATGCTTACTAAGGTGGCAGTAGACCCGAACCTGGATGTTCAAACAATGCCATTCTTACCTGTTTTGGAGTGAAACAGTGAAAGGGAAAGGACAAAGAATTAAACCAAATTAAACTAAAATCTCCAAGTCTACAGTAAAAAAGAACTGCAGCAGGTTTAGTCAGTGAAATTTTTTTTCTTTCCCCGAGATGGAGTCTTGTCCTGTTGCCCAGGCTGGAGTGCAGTGGCACCATCTCAGCTCATCCCAACCTCCACCTCCCATGTTCAAGCGATTCTCCTGCCTCGGCCTCCCTAGTATCTGGGATTACAAGCATGCGCCACCACACCCGGCTAATTTTGTATTTTCAGTAGAGACGGGGTTTCTCCATGTTGGTCAGGCTGGTCTCGAACTCCTGACCTCAGGTGACCTGCCCACCTTGGTCTCCCAAAGTGCTGGGATTACTGGCGAGAGCCACTGTGCCCGGCCTGAAAATGGTTATTAAAACATATTTTAATGAAAACACTTTCTCACCATCTTTAAATAAAAACAATTTACATTTTCCAATCGGAAGCTGCTGGGGCACTAGGACTCATGTGTTTTCTGCTCCACAGGTTTCACATGCCACTGCACTACTAACTCCCCAGTGCTTTTGAGGCACGTGTTAGACATGTTCTCCTCTGTTGGAAGTCCTTGTGGCAACTTCAAGGGCTGGATTCTGTGACATAAGAAAATGTGTTTAGATAGGAGGAATATGTTCTAGTGTTCTGTATCCCTGCAGGATAACTACAGTTAACAATAACACACAGTTTCAAACAGCTAGAAGGAGGATGTTGAATGTTCCCAACATGAAGAAATGATAAATGTCTGAGATGACGGATATGGATATGAGTTGCCTTGATCGGATCACTATAACTTTATATATATTGAAACGTCACTATGTACCCCATAAATACGTACAATTATTATGTGTCAATTAAAAAACCCAAAATTTTAGTTTTATAAAAAGTTTTTTTCAGAACACTAACAAAAAAGAAAGAAAAATGCATTTAGAATTACACTAGGCAATACATTTTAAAAAGAGAAGAAACAACAAACCTTATCAAATGCTTAACCACCTTCAATTTTGAATTCACGGAAGGGATATTCTTGTGAACTTGAGGGGTATGTGACTGTGAACAACAACAACAACAAAGCAATGTTATCAACCAACCTGAAGAGCAGATTGTTCCATGTTTCAGTACAATGTTAAACTGAGGGCTCATTCTAAGCCAAATTTACAAATAAATTACCCTAAGCAATACGCAATAAATAATAAATATACGCCTCAAAGTTTTAAAAGTATAAAATTTAAAGCAAGACCAGGTGCAGTGGCTCACGCCTGTAATCCCAGCACTTTGGGAGGCTGAGGCGGGCGGATCACGAGGTCAGGAGATTGAGACCATCCTGGCTAACATGGTGAAACCGCGTCTCTACTAAAAATACAAAAAATTAGCCGGGCGTGGTGGCGGGCGCCTGTAGTCCCAGCTACTCGGGAGGCTGAGGCAGGAGAATGGCGCGAACCCGGGAGGCGGAGCTTGCAGTGAGCCGAGATCGCGCCACTGCACTCCAGCCTGGGCGACAGAGTGAGACTCCGCCTCAAAAAAAAAAAAAAAAAAAATTTAAAGCAAATGTAAACAACACTAAAGATGATTAAAATAATTGCATACTTTTTCTAATCCAAGCATCTTTATTATATCTTTTTCCCAATATGGACGTCTTCTTGTACTTTTTATCCTGGTAACAATATGCAGTTTATGAGGGTTCTGTGGATCTCCACCATATTTTTCATGATCTTCAGGTGAGGCCTGAAACACCTAGAAAGGAAATAATTATAAATGGCAAATTTCCAGCTTACACAGTTTCTATATACCTCCCATTTTTTCTTAAAAGACACACACACATACACAACTACATAATTATCTCATCCTTAATCATCACGTAATCCTCAACCTCAAATTGAACATTTCTATCAGTCTGATTACTCAGAGAGATGGAGTTTAACCTGTAGAACAAAGCAGGAGCAACCAATGACACTAAATAATTTAAACGCCAGGAGACTCTGTAAGCCCTGCTATGAGCTGGGCACTAGGCCGCATCCTCTTCCCTCCCTATTCTCAGGTGAAGAGCTGACTGTCAGGTGGGAAAACAAACATGTAAATTACAAGTGAAAATAAAACATAAATACTATAAAAACATTCTACAAAGTATTATGAGAATACAGGCAAATGACTAATGATTTTTGCTTATGAGGGATCAGAAACAGCTCCACAGAGCTAATATTTGAATTAATTATCTAAGAATCAAAAGGTTCTAAGAAGTTATCCCACAGAAACACTCCTCTAAGTGCACAAAATGTACCGAATAAGGATGTGTATTCTAACACTATTTGTAACACTGAAAAATTTTAAGGCAGCCCATGTTCCTCACTAGGATAACTACATTATGATGTATCCATTCTAAATAAAATGATTAATAATAAAACTAAGCAAAATGATGGAAATACACAAATTCTTTTTTTTTGAGATGGAGCCTTGCCTTGCTCTGTTGCCCAGGCTGGAGTGCAATGGCACGATCTCGGCTCACTGCAACCTCTGCCCCCGAGGTTCAAGCAATTCTCTTGTCTCAGCCTCATGAGTAGCTGGGATTATAGGTGTTCACCACCATGCCCAGCTAATTTTTGTATTTTTAGTAGAGATGGGGGTCTCACCATGTTGGCCAGGCTGGTCTTGAACTCCTGACCTCAAGTGATCCACTTGCCTCAGCCTCCCAAAGTGCTGGGATTACGGGCGTGAACCACTGTGCCCAGTGCAAATACACAAATTCCGATGTATCCTATAGGATACAATACTACCATTAAAATGAATGAGGTTTACTATCTTTGCAGGTCTTCACACTGAATGATGGCCATAATATATTCTTGAGCCAAAAACCAAAAAGAAATATCCATATAATTATGTGTTGTAAGCTGTTATGTGCATCATCCGCACCAAATACATGAGTGTGCATATGTGATATATTCTATAAATACTGTTTCTAAGACTCACATAAAATATATATAAAGGTCTCAAAGACATTAGATCAAGAGTCATACCTCTGGGGAATCAGATTGAGAAAAAAAATTGACCCCAAAAAGATGGTATCTTAATAAAAAAGAATATTATTCAATGATTAAAAATAGTTTTGTAGAAATGTATATAGTGTAAAAGCGTTCCTATTTCTCCACAGCCTCGCCAGCATCTATTGTTTCTTGACTTAATAATCGCCATTCTGACTGGCGTGAGATAATATCTCATTGTGGTTTTGATTTGCATTTCTGTAATGATCAGTGATGATGAGCTTTTTTTCATACGTTTGTTGGCCACATAAATGTCTTGAAAAGTGTCTGTTCATTTCCTTTGCCCACTTTTTGATGGGGTTGTTTTTTTTTTTCTTGTAAATTTAAGTTCCTTGTAGATTCTGGATATTAGCCCTTTGTCAGATGGGTAGATTGCAAAATTCTCCTCCCATTCTGTAGCTTGCCTGTTCACTCTGATGGTGAGCTTCTTTTGCTGTGCAGAAGCTCTTCAGTTTAATTAGATCCCATTTGTCAATTCTGGCTTTTGTTGCCATTGCTTTTGGTGTTTTAGTCATGAAGTCTTTGCCCATGCCTGTGCCCTGAATGGTATTGCCTAGGTTTTCTTCTAAGGTTTTTATGGTTTTACACTATTGGTGGCAATGTAAATTAGTTCAACCATTGTGGAAGACAGTGTGGCGATTCCTCAAGGATCTAGAACCATAAATACCATTGGACTCAGCAATCCCATTACTGGGTATATACCCAAAGGAATATAAATCATTCTACTATAAAGACATATGCACATGTATGTTTATTGAAGCAGTACTTACAATAGCAAAGACATGGAACCAACCCAAATGCCCATCAATGATAGACTGGATAAATAAAACATGGTACATATACACCAAGGAATACTATGCAGCCATAAAAAAGAATAAGATTGGCCGGGCACGGTGGCTCACGCCTGTAATCCTGGCACTTTGGGAGGCCGAGGCAGGTGGATCACGAGGTCAGGAGATTGAGACCATCCTGGCTAACACAGTGAAACCTCGTCTCTACTAAAAATACAAAAAATTAGCCAGGCATGATGGCAGGCGCCTGTAGTCCCAGCTACTCAGGAGGCTGAGGCAGGAGAATGGCATGAACCCGGGAGGCGGAGGTTGCAGTGAGTGAGACTGTGCCACTGCACTCCAACCTGGGCGACAGAGTGAGACTCTGTCTCAAAAAAAAAAAAAAAAAAGAATGAGATCATGTGCTTTGCAGGGACATGGATGAAGTTGGAAGCCACCATCCTCAGCAAACTAATACAGGATCAGAAAACCAAACACTGCATGTTCTCACTCATAAGTGGGAGTTGAACAATGAGAACACATGGGGAGTTGGGGGCAAAGGGAGGGAGATCATTAGGACAAATACCTAGCGCATGTGGGGCCTAAAACCTAGATGCCGGGTTGATAGGTGCAGCAAACCACCATGGCACATATATACCTATGTAACAAACCTGCACATTCTGCACATGTATACCAGAACTTAAAAAAAAAAAAAAGAAATGTGTACAGTGAGAGGTTCATATTATATTACTAGACAGAGAAAGCAGCTAGAGAAGCACCGATTCATATGAGATAAATCACATCTTAAAACATACAACACAGATTGAACTCCTTATTCTACTCTTTCCTTCTCATTACTGCACTTGAGTAGTCTAAAAGAAAAAAATAAAACATACAACAGAGAAGGATGTGGAAGGAGCTGGCAGCAGTTATCTCTGGGTGGGTAAGATTAAGAGTATTTTTTGATGAGTTTTGTTTGTTTATATTTTTCTAGGGATTTTGAAGAGATTAGAACGAGAAGGATGGTGGAGATCAGAGGAAGGGGTAGGTGCACTAAAGAAAGGTGAGAATATTTAAAAGAACAGTATGAAAAAGCACAAAATATTTTGGAAAGGCAAGTGGTTCAGGGTGACTAATATAGAAAAATGCATGAAAAGCAATGCAGGGGACGAAGTTAAACTATGTGCAACCATGTTGAGCCTTTAGAAATTACTGCTGGGGATACAGAGTTAATGAGGGTTAAAACCAATAGGACCATGTTTTTAAGAGATTTGGAAAGAAAACTCTTACCTGAGAATAAAACCAACTGGGGATAGAGCCTGACACAAGGAAACCCAGTTAGGAGGCACTTACGACCATGGTTAAAGAGCCTGAACTACAGCAGCTGTAACAGAAAAATGACTGATAGGGGAACTTTGCGCAGTAAGATAGATGGATTTGTGTTGGGTGAAGAAGAGGGAGGCTAAACTTGATTCAGATGTCTCCAGTCTGGGAAATTAGATAGAGGATGGTAGCATTAACTGACATAACTAATACAAGAGAGGCACCTTCTTTTTTATTTGGTTGTTTGGAGGGAAAGTAAGATGAGTTGAATTTTGGATATGAACTTGAAATACCTATAAGTTATCTAAGTAGCAATGTCTAGAAACCAGTTGAGAATACAGGAGAATACAGGAATAAGTTCAGAAGATAGGCGGGGCCGGGCGCGGTGGCTCATGCCTGTAATCCCAGCACTTTGGGAGACTGAGCGGGGTGGATCATGAGGTCAGGAGATCAAGACCATCCTGGCCAACATGGTGAAACCCCGTCTCTACTAAAACTACAAAAATTAGCTGGGCGTGGTGGCGCGTGCCTGTAATCCCAGCTACTCAGGAGGCTGAGGCAGGAGAACTGCTTGAACCTGGGAGGTGGAGGTTGCAGTGAGCCAAGATCACACCACTGCACTCCAGCCTGGAGACAGAGTGAGACTCTGCCTCCAGAAAAACAAACAGTCAGGTACTATTTTCCCGAGGTTTAAAGGTTTTCACATTTATCACAGCTGATGATCGAAACCACTGCCTTGCACATTTATTTTACTTTAAGTTCCAGGGCACAAGTGCAAGATGTGCAGGTTTGTTACATAGGTAAATATGTACCATGGCAATCTGCTGCACTATTTGCTGCACTTATCATTCCATCACCTAGGTATGAAGCCCAGCATGCATTAGCTATTTTTCCTGATGCTCTCCCTCCACTCGCCCCCCACAGGCCCCAGTGTGTTATTCCCCTGCCTGTGTCTAGCCTTGCATATTTTAAATGAATGCCAACATTTGTATCCATCCTTCCAGAAATACAGAGTAAGAAACATGGAAAGATATAAGACAAAATAGTTGTGGAAAGGATAGCAGTGGAAAGACAACGACTCGAAAAATAAAAAAGATTTTTTTATTTTGTTTTGAGATAAGGTCTCACTCTGTTGCTGAGGCTGAAGTGAACTGATCCGATCATGGCTCACTACACCCCTGACCTCCTGGGCTAAAGTGATCCCCTTGTCTCAGCCTCCTGAGTGGTTGGGACTACAGGCATGCACCACCACACCTAGCTAATTTTAAAATTTTTTGTAGACATGGAGTCTCACTATGTTGCCCAGGCTGGTCTTGAATTCCTGGACTCAAGCGATCCTCCTGCCTCAGCCTCCCAAAATGCTAGGAATATAGGTGTGAGCCACTGTACCTGGACGAGATTTCTGATAAAAGAACACCAAGCACATTAAAGGTATCAAAGTAGTCAATGGTAATACTGTTTTATCTTTTAAGAAAAATCAATGGGGAATGGTAGTCACCAAAAGCTAGGGAGAGGAGAAAATGGGGGAGTTACTATTATTATTAATTTTTGAGACAGGATCTTGCTCTGTTGCCCAGGCTGGAGTGCAGTGGCACAATTACAGGTCATTGCAGCCTTAACCTCCTGAGATTAAGCAATCCTCCCCGCTCAGCCTCCTGAGTAGCTAGGACTACAGGTGTGTACCACAACACCCATCTCATTTTTTGTTTGTAGAGACTGGGTCTCCTTATGTTGCCTAGGTCGGCAGTTATTATTGAGTGGATGGAGTTTCGGTTTTACAAGATGAAGAGTTCCGGAGATGGATGGTTGTGATAGCTGCACAACAGTGTCAATGCACTTAATGCCACTGAATAGCACACTTACAAGTGGTTAAGATGGTAAATGTTATATGTATATTTTACCACAACAAAAAATATCAGGAACCCCTCGCCCAAAACAAATAAACAAAAAACCCAGGCTTTACAAAGCTAAATATAGTCTTTAATATACAATCCAGCAATTATGCTCTTAGGCATTTAACTGATGAGTTGGAACTTTATGTCCACACAAAAATCTATACATGAATGGTTATAGCAGCTTTGTTCATTACTGTCCAAAACCGGAAGCAACCACGATGTTTTTCCACGGGCAAATGCACAAACCGTACACGTCCATGCAATGGAATATTACTCAGCAATAAAAATAAGCTAGCAAGCCACAAAAAGACATGGAGGAACCTTACGGGTAAATTGCTAAGAGAAAGAATCCAGTTTGAAAGGGCTGTATACCATATGATTTCAGTTATATTACATTCTAGAAAAGGCAAAACTATGGAGATAATAAAAAGATCAGTGGTTGCCAGGGGTTGGGAGTTGGGAAGGATAAACAGGTGAACCACAGGTGATACTTAGGACAGTGAAACTATTCTGTATAATACTGTAACAGTGGATACATGACATTACGCATTTGTCAAAACCCATAGAACTTCACAACGTGAAGAGTGAACGCTAGCGTAAACCATGGTATTTAGTTAATAATACTGTGTCCCGTTGGTTCATCAGTTATAGAGGACACTGTGTATGCTTCAGGGAGGGAGCATATAGGAACTCCCCATACTTCCCAATCAATGTTTCTGCAAACCTAAAACTGCTCTAAGAAATAAAGACTACTAATTAAAACACACACAAAAACAGACCGGGCACCTGTAATCCCAGCACTTTGGGAGGCCAAGGCGGGTAGATCACTCAAGATCAGGAGTGCAAGACCAGCCTGGGCAACATGATGAAACCCCATCTCTCCTAAAAATACAAAAATTAGCTGGGTGTGGTGGCACGGGCCTGTGGTCCCAGATACTCTGGAGGCTGAGGCACAAGAACTGTTTGAACCCAGGAGACAGAAGTTGCAGCCAGCTGAGACTGTGCCACCGTGCCCCAGCCTGGGCAACAAAGCAAAACTCTCTTAAAAAAAAAAAATTAAAACAAAAATCAATAGCGAGCTTAGTCAGTATTATCTAAAAGAATGATAGGCACACATAAATCAAATAGAAAAAGCTGAAAGATCCAAAGTAGCAATGATCGATATGGAAAGTGAAAATGAAGAGTGACACCGTGAGAGCCTGAGCAGGAAGACCTACTGCTTTCTCAGGACAATGGTGATACCAACACATACATACAAACCATAAGTAGGAATAAGTAGACTGAAATGATAAAAACCCACTACTGTGAAGGCCAGTGACACAAGTGACAGAACAGTTTTGTTTTTAATAATCACCATTTACACAAATCCCACTATGCGTTAAACTCTGTACCCCCACCTACATCCACATATAATTTAACATAAAATCTTTCAATATTACAAAAATAGGTACCACTTAAAATATATTTTTTAGAACAACACTAACATTAAAAAAAAAAAATCAAACTTTGTTCTTACTTTATCTGGAATTCTTGATTTGGTGAATTTGTGACGAATCCAATCTGTACCAATGAGAGACTCCACACCTTTTGTCACCGTCTAAAATATGATATAAATCATTTGTTTTTTAGAATTCTATCTAGTACAGAAATCCGTACCCACCAATCTTTAGGTAACAGAAGTCTGTTCCAACCTACCCTGTAATTATTAAAGGTATATCTTAGCGCCCTAGCTGAGCGAATGCATCCCATCTAAGCACTAACACGATACAAAGGTAAAAGTGCATAAATATACTTTTAGACCATGGATTGGTAACTGTTTTCTGTAAAGGACCAGATAGTAAACATTTCCAGCTCTAGAGCTATGTAGTCTCCATTGCCAAAACTCAGCTTGGCCATTATAGGGTAAAAGCAGTCGGACAATATGCAAACAAACAGGGGTGGCTATTTTTCTTCTCCTTTCTTTTTTCTTTTTTTTGTTTGAGATGGAGTCTCACTCTGTGGTCCAGGCTGGAGTGCAGTGGTGCCATCTCGGCTCACTGCAACCTCCACCTCCCGGGTTCACGCCATTCTCCTGTCTCAGCCTCCCGAGTAGCTGGGACTACAGGTGCCCGCCACCACGCCCGGATAATTTGTTTTTGTATTTTTAGTACAGACAGGTTTTCGCCGTGTTAGCCAGGATGGTCTTGATCTTCTGACCTCATGATCCGCCCACTTTGGCCTCCCAAAGTGCTGGGATTACAAGCGTGAGCCACGGCGCCCAGCCGGGTGTAGGTAGTTTTCAATAAAACTGTTATTTACAAAAATAGGTGGCAGGCTGAATTTGGCCTAGAGGCCATAGCTTAGCAACTCTTGCTCTAGAGAATGTGCAATAATTCACATTTAACAAGACAATATAAAAGAAATCCAAAGTGAGTTTCCAGTTTCCTTTCTAGTTCTAACAATGTCATCATTCCTAGTTCCTATCCCTTGCTCCTGCTCTACGTTCCTCCAATCCCACTTCTCTCAGGCTGCTGAAGAACAAGGATTCACTGCCGACCTTTCATACCAGGACACGGTCGTGGGAATGGGCAACAGTCGTTCCCATCACTCCCTGCTAGCATTTCCTGCATTGCAGAGATGGCATAAACCAGTAGAAGACAGGCAGTGGGCTGAGTTCTGCTGCCTACCAGCTGTGAGACATGAGACACTCTCTCAGAGGGTCAGTTTCCTCAGCTCTAAAAAGGAAATCATACTGACCTCCCAGGATTAATCTGAGGTTAAGGTAATATAAAATAAAGCCCTTTACATTGTTGTCATCTGCAGCCAGGAGCAAGTCAATAGGCTCATCTAGGCTTTGGCCCTTATGAGCAGATGAGGCTGCACCACTGCACTTTCTAAAGGCAAGCCTAGAAGGAGATACAGGAAAATACTAACACTGATGGTCTCCTAGAGATTATTTCTCTTCCTTCTGATTTTCCATATTTTTCTAATATTGTATTATTGAAAATGTACTCCTTCCATAATCTTAGGGGAAAAAACCCCTAAAACTTTAAGATTAAGACAGACCAAGGGGAATCAATGACGGCCATTTTTTATTGGCATGTTTTCCAGAAAAAGATCTTTTTTGATTCTAGATCTTTAGGGATAAAACAGCAGATAAACCATAAATAAACAAGATTAACTCTCAATATCCAAAAAATATCAAAAAGGAACTGGGGAAAGCACTTAACTTTGGGTGGCTGGGGTGGGTGGATCACAAGGTCAGGAGTTAGAGACCAGCCTGGCCAATATGGTGAAACCCCCGAGTATATGAAAAATACAACAATTAGCCAGGTGTGGTAGCAGACACCTGTAGTCCCAGGTACTCGGGGGACTAAGGCAGGAGAATTCCTTGAACCTGGGAGGTGGAGACTACAGTGAGCCCAGATAGCACCACGGCACTCCAGCCTGGGTGAGAGTGAGACTCCATCTCAAAAAAAAAAAAAAAAAAAAAAAAAAAGAACTTAACTTGCCTTGTAATGATTAAAAAAAAAAAATTCATAAGGGGTAGAAAAAGAAATTCTTGAAAAGAAACACTTACCTGTAGTCCGCCCGGGGGCCTCTGAACTACTAAGCGCAAAATCCCAGCCATAAGTGCAGTGACTGCTCTCTTTAGAGGCTGTGGGAAGTAGGAAGTAGACCCATGAGTCAACTATGTCCTGGAAATGAACAGGTTTCCCCTTCTCTAGTATTAAAAAACTAAGCAGCAAATTAATTGTAAACTTGACTTAAGTTTAACAGTAAAACATATTGGTCATTTTAATACAATAAGGGCATGAATTAATTTATACATATTTTATTCAACCACAGGTAGTAATTATACACATTAACCACACCCCATTTTCATCAAATGAGTCAGACTTAGATTGATTCCACAAAACTACTATCATTTAAAGTGTCTTCTTCAACAATGAAGGCAGATAAAGAATACTTTGCCACAGAATCACAGAAAATTAAAGAGCCTGAAGGGACTGGAGAAATCTCAACTCCTATTAGAACTGACTGCCCACATCCTTACTTTATGAATGAGGATCATGAATTCCAGAAAGTTCAATGATTTATCCAAGTGCATCCAGTTATCAATAAAGTATGTGGTCTGGAATCCCATTCTCCTAATTTCTAGGTGAGTGCATTTTCACTAAACCATAACACCTTTCTGTTAAAAAGTAGAATTTGTTTTTGCTGATTTGTATTTTTTTAAACTATTTTCAATGTACACGCATTGCTTCTATAACCTAAAAAGGTCATATTTATTTAATTAGACACAAAACAACTGTAGTCTACTGACTTATACTGAAAGCAGAAAGATTAAGTTCATGAATTACATGTATATGTCGGACAGGTTACTTAATTCGTGCGTTACAATTTTTCTCCCAGAAAAGAAAGAAAATAGTCGTCTTGCAAATGAGTTATTCTACAAAGCACCTAAAACAGTACATGGCATGTGGGGAGCCCTCAATAAATGGTAGCTTTTATTATTATTAAATTATTACAAAGCTAATAAGAATGCTCTTAAAAGTATTATTAAAAGCAGTCCCCAACCTTTTTGGCACTGGGCCAGTTTCATGGAAGACAATTTTTCCATGAATAGGGAGAGGTGGCAGGGAAGGTTTCAGGATGAAACTGTCCACTTCAGATCATCAGGCATTAGATTCTCACAAGGAGCATGCAACCTAGATCCATTGCATGCACAGTTCACAACAGCGTTCACACTCCTATGAGAATCTAATGCCGGACTGCTCTGACAGGAGGCGGAGCTCGGGTGGTAATGCTCACTCCACCTCAGCTCACCTCCTGCGGTGCCACCTGGTTCCTAGCTGGCCAGCAAACGCTCTGGATCTGAGGCCTGGGGTTTGGAGACTTCTGCTCTAACACACTAAAATAGGTTAAGTGTTGTAATTCAGTGTCCCGCAGATTCTAGTTCATTCAAGTTCTGCACGTCTTTCCTGGGATGTGGATAAAGCAATGGAACTGTGAGAATCAATGCAAGACGTCTCTTGAAAAGAGCCAGACCTCAGAAACATTCCTCAGCAACTGAACCTGTCTAATGCTAAATTATTTTACCAGACTTCCTCGTATCAAGGTTAGGTATTACTCCAACATATTTAGCTTCACGCTTTATAAAAAATCTTTCTGATCACTTAGATCTCAACAAAATCCTAACTGGACTTCTGCTTCCATTCCAATTCCCCTAATATCTTTTTTGTATATCAGCAATAAATCATCTCATTAAATCTTAGATCATATCGCTCTGCTCAAAAATCTTCCAGAGAGCCAGGATTCTCACTGTCGAAGTGGGAAGTTACACATAAGCAAGAGCGGAAGGCTACAATGATCCTTACATACCTTATAATGTTTAGCTTAATATAGATATTGAGGGATTAGAAATAATAATAGATATGCATACACACATGGGTTGGCTCTGTCAGCTGAGAGGACTTACAGCAATAGCACTCAGTGGCAATGAGCACGCCAGGTGCCCAGATCTTGGCTGCATTCTTTAATAAAACGAACCAGTGCTCCTTTGAGAAATGGCAGATTATGTCTGGAGCACTTTGTAATGCCAGAAAGGAACTACTGGAAAAAACATAATGATGGGGTATGTCAAAGGGACACTGGAGTCAACTGTAGCCAAAGCTGGAACAATTTCAGCAACAAAATAAGTAACAAAGTATTACTGGCTTAGAACCCAAACCAAAATAAATAAATAAATAAATAAACAAACAAACAACCCTAAGTTCATACTAATATAAATAAGTGGGCCGGGCGCGGTGGCTCAAGCCTGTAATCCCAGCACTTTGGGAGGCTGAGACGGGTGGATCATGAGGTCAGGAGATCAAGACCATCCTGGCTAACACGGTGAAACCCTGTCTCTACTAAAAAATACAAAAATCTAGCCGGGCGAGGTGGCGGGCGCCTGTAGTCCCAGCTACTCGGGAGGCTGAGGCAGGAGAATGGCGTAAACCCGGGAGGCGGAGCTTGCAGTGAGCTGAGATCCGGCCACTGCACTCCAGCCTGGGCGACAGCGAGACTCTGCCTCAAAAACAAACAAACAAACAAAAAAACAAAATATAAATAAGTGAATAAGTTAATGAGAAAGAACAAATATCCCATTCAGAAGAATTCCAAATAATTCTTCCCTCTCCTGGAATGATCCTGATACTTACATGGCTAATTTCCTTATCTTTTTAAATTTTCGGCTCAAATCTCACCTTTTCAATGACGTCTACCCAGATCACATCATTTGACATTTTCACCCATACCCCAACTGTCAACACTCCCAATTCCTCTCTTTTCTTTCTACTGTGCGTATCTTCTAACGTAACTTAATTATCTGTTAGGTTTGTTGTTTGGTACATATCCATTCAACACCATGCTAATTCCATAGGAAAGGGGTTTTTAGATTTTGTTGTTTTGGGTCTGTTATATTCACAGAAGTATCCCAAGCATCTATGTAAAGTGGTATCTGCCCTATAGCAGGCACATATTTTTTTGCAGAATAACTGAAATTTAAATATTTACAGACCTCTGAAGGTGTGATGGTCAAAAGTTACAAGTTTTTAGAGATAAGAGTCTCCCTAAGTTCCTGGGATTGAACTCAGACTCAAGCAATCCTCAATTTTCCCAGTAATTGGAGCTATGTGTCACCACGTTTGACTCAAGGAATACGTTTATTTTATTTTTTTGAGACAGAGGCTCGCTCTGTAGCCCAGGCTGGAGTGCAGTGGCGCCATCTCGGCTCACTGCCATCTCGGCTCACTGCAAGCTCCGCCTCCCAGGTTCATGCCATTCTCCTGCCTCAGTCTCCCGAGTAGCTGGGACTACAGGCGCCCGCCACCACGCCCAGCTAATTTTTTGTATTTTTAGTAGAGACGGGGTTTCACCGTTTTAGCCAGGATGGTCTCGATCTCCTGACCTCGTGGTCCTCCCGCCTCGGCCTCCAAAAGTGCTGAGATTACAGGCATGAGCCACCTTGCCTGGCAAGGAATACGTTTTAATAAAGTAAAAGTTACTGTCTCCTACTGTAAAATAGGAAAATACCAGGCATCACAGAAGTATGATCCCATTTCTATTTTTTTAAATGTCTGTGAACGTGTCTATTTACAGAAAAATTCTGGAAGGTTGTCAGAAAAGTGTTAATATACGCCTGGGGGTATGAAAAAAGGTGTTTTTCCTCCCCCACACCGACGGATAGTTCTTATGTCTTTTTACAATGACCATGCATGCAACAGGAACGTTAACAAGTGATTTCTTTTTCTAAACCGTCAATGTATATAATTATTAAAGGGGGAAAAACACTTCTGAAACGTAAAACATAGAATCACTCTTGCAGAGATACCAGAGATCTCTGAAGGCTGGAAGCGTGTCTCTTCTCTGAACCCCTAGTGCCTAATAAGCAGTAGGCAGCCCTCATTACTGCCTCTTGGCAAAAAGGGCAGAACACACAGCTTTTGGTAGGTCTCGATCAAAATGGTAACAAATCATAATTTTAATAAAATGGCAAATATTCTTTTTTTTTTTTTTTTAAGAAGAAGTCTCGCTCTGTCACCCAGGCTGGAGTGCAGTGGCATGATCTCGGCTCACTGCAAGCTCCGCCTCCCGGGTTCACGAAAATGGCAAATATTCTAACTGCCAACTCTGGGATGCTTGCATTATAAAATGAAGCAATACAAAAATAAAGACAATTTTCTATCTTCATTAAAAAAAAAAAAAAAAGCAACCCTAATCCCCAATGGCAATAAAGCAGCAGCACAGAAAATGCTGCTTGGGTTCCCTTTCCCAAGCTGTCCAGCCTCGGTGGCTCCGTCCTTGAGCTCTAGAGTCTGGGCCCAAAAAGCCGCGTGGCCCTGGATCCCGCGAATTGGGAAACGGGGGGATCCTGCAGGCCAATGGCTTTAAGGGAGCCAATGTGACGGGATCTGGCGCAGACCCATTTAGGTTGCCGTAACCTGCCAACTCAGAACGCAATAGGGAAAATCAATTAGGATCTGCAGAGGGCTCCCGGATACACCTTGCGAAGAATGCCGCACTCTCGGCCACGCATTCCCCACTCACCAGCACCCGCTAAACGTTCAGCCCGAACTTTTCCACCGAAGGGAAGCGGAACAGAGGAAGAGCTACCAAGTGCCACACTCAAAGTCTGCCGTCGCAGTGAGCGCGACCTGCACACTAGGGCATTTTTGTTCCGACGAAATCCCTCCCCCTCAGGCAAGTCCCTAGAAAGAGAGCGCAGGCGCCTAGGTGTCACATGACCGCTTCCCGGAAGCGCAGCAGACCCCGCTTCACTTCAGCCTGGGTTGAGGTGGAGGAGAATTCCCGGAATTATGGCGAAGTCCGGGCTGGGGCAGGATCCTCAGAGCACAGCTGCAGCCACTGTGCTCAAGCGGGCGGTAGAACTAGATTCGGAGTCGCGGTATCCGCAGGCTCTGGTGTGTTACCAAGAGGGGATTGATCTGCTCCTGCAGGTTCTGAAAGGTGAGCAATGAGGCAAGGCGGGGAGGACCTGAGGAAAAGGGGCAGGTTCCTGCTGTGTCTGGGGTGAAGCGAATGAGTTAAAAACGATTCTTCCGCACCACGAAGAAGCAGTTAAATACAGAAGGTGGGATATTCTACAGGACACCTGGGCCGCTTTCCTTTAGATCTTTAGTAGATTGATGTCATCTAGAAAAGGTGGGGAGGCTACTAGTCTAGATTTTAAAAGACTTAAGAGATATAACCCAGTGTAATATATAAGCTTTGAGAGGACCTGGGTTTGTAAGAACTTTGAAAGACATTTTTGGATCTAGTAGAAAAGTTTGAATATAGATTGGGTGACATTAAAATTATTTTCTTAGGCAATATGATTTTTTTTTCCGAAAACTATCCTAAATTTTTAGAGATGCAGACCAAAGTGTTTTAGAAAGAGATGCTATGATGTCTTTAGTTAATTTTCCTTAAGCAAAAATTTTTTAAAAATCGAAGCTCTATTTGAGCAAAAATGCTAATTTAAAAAATCTAGGTGATGGGTAATAAGGGTGTTTATTATACGATTATTTAAAATTTTCTGTTTAAACATTTGCATTTAAAGCAAGCCAAAGTAAAATTATGTAGCGGCAGAAGAAAAGTTTTTCTTAAACGGATGAAGTGCGGTGTGAGAAATGCCCAGGGTTGTGGAGGGGACAGTGAGACTTTTCCTATCACTTAGTTATTCAATGTTGAGAAATACCCAAATATTCCTTAACACCCAGCACAACGCTGGCTCACAGTAGACACTCAATATTTATGTATTAAATTGATAAGATCAACTCCTGCTCCCCAACCCACTGACACTCCCAGTCTGAACTAAGCTCCCTCTGTGCTTTCTAGTTTAAGCTTCTTATAATTAAAGTGTTACCGAAGCTTTGAGGCAGCAGAGGGAAGCCCTTCCTGGTTTGGTGCTTTGGTCAGAACTATAAACTCTACCTTGCCTGAGGCGTTATTTGATGATAATGATGACAGTGACAACAGCACTAAGCGTAGCTATCACGTTTCGGTGCTGAGTGCCAGGCATTGCAGAGAACATTAAAAGTATGATCTCGTTTCATCCGTACCAATTGCCCTATCAAGTAGGAGTTGATGGTGTTCTCGCTTTACAGCATAAAAAATATTGTTCGCTTTCAAGTTCTGCCACTAGGAGGTGGTAGAGTCACAGTCAGAGCCCAAGGCCTGTGTATACTGAATCCCAGAAGAGAGATGGTGTACTGTGTTGGTCAGGTGGAACACTGCTCAAGTTTTGGCTGCACCGGGAATCTGAAGCAGGAAAATCACAGTTCTTCTCTAGTGTGCTTCACTGATCCAGTAGAGGTTACATGTAACATGACATAGATAGGTTAAGACCAAAATGCAAATAGTGCTAATACAGGCAATAGGTGCCAGGAGAGAGATATCCATAGATAGGCACAATGAGGATTTCAACAGTTAAAGGTCATGGGAGGGTGGAAAGGTAGAGGTGGAGTTTGATTGGGGCTTTGGAGGAAAAAGAATTTCAGAAGTCAGAAATTCATCTAAGAATCTTCAAATTCCTGTGCTGTCTTACCAAATAAGTGGTTTGGTTGAGCAGGTGTCTGAAGAGGAAGAGTGAGAAGTTTAAAGGTAGATAGGGGCTTGGATCACATTGTGAATTCCTTGACTACCAGGAGATTCTAACTTATTCCGCAGGCAAGGAGAAACCATTTAAGGTTTTTACAAAGGAGTAATACAATTGGAGTTGCATTTCAGAGCTTGTCTCTTTCAGAAATGTGCTCTTTTCTCACAGATACTTATTTGCATGGCACACTCTCTCCTATTCCAGGCCTTTACACAAATATCACCCTCTTTGTGAGGTTTTCCGAGACCTCCAGTGTAAAATTATAACCCCATCCCAGCACTCCCTGTCCTCTGTTATTTTATTTGATAGCACTTATCTCAATCTAATATACATGTTTTACCAACTTATTTTTATTGTTCTCTTTCTTCCTACTTGAACAATAGAGGAGAATTGTGTCTGTTGTATTAACTGCTGTATCCACAGCACTTAGAACAGTGCCTGGCATGTCGTTAGTTCTCAATAAATATTTCTTGAATAAAGGACTGAATCTGGCAAGGATGTAAAGTAGATATTAACCTGTAGAGACTGAAGTTAAGCAGACCAATTAAGGAGCTCCTGCTGGAATCAAAGTAAGAGGTGAGTATAGCCATTATAGAAAACAGTATGGAGATTCCTCAAAAAATTAAAAAGAGAACTACCATATGATCCATCAATCCCATTACTGGGTATACATCCAAAGGAAATGAAATCATTACAATGAAGAGATATTTACACTCCTATGCTTACTGCAGCACTATTCATAATAGCCAAGATAGGGAATCAATCCAAGTGTCTATCAGCAGATGAATAGATAAAGAAAATGTGGTACATATATACAGTGGAGTACTGTTCAGCCATAAAAATGGAAATCCTGTCATTTGTGACATGGACAAACTTGTAGGAAATTGTTAAGTGAAATTAGCCAGACACAGAAGGACAAATACCACATGATCTCACTCATGTGTGGAATCTGAAAAAGTCGATGTAGAAGTAGAGAGTAGAATAGTGGTTACCAGAAGCTGGGAAGGGCAGGGGGTAGGAGGAATGGGGAGAGGTTGGTCAAAGGGTATAAAATTACAGTTAGATGCCAGGCACAGTGGCTCATGCCTGTAATCCCAGTACTTTGGGAGGCCGAGGTGGGCAGATCACTTGAGGTCAGGAGTTCGAAACCAGCCTCGCCAACATGGTGAAACCCTGTCTCTCTTAAAAAAAAAAAAAAAAAAAAAATACAGTTAAATAAGAGGAATAAATTCCGGTGTCTTATTACACAATAGGGTGACTATAGTTAATAATGTGTTGTATGTTTCAACATAGCTAGAATGAAGGATTTTCAAGGTTCTTACCACAAAGAAACTAAATATTTGAGATGACAGATAGGCTAATTACCCTGATTTGATCATTACCTTTACCAAGTGGTTAAAGTTAATATCATCAGTAGTAAGACACATAAATATCACGTACCCACCAAGCAAGGTACATCACTTCTGTGATTGTCTTGCCAAAAAATGCATAAACCAAGTCTAATCATGAGCAAACATCAGACCGTCCAAACTGAGAGACATTCTGCAAAAATAACTGACTGATGTTATTCCTAAATGTCAAGGTCATAGAAGGCAGAGAAAGATTAAGGAACTAACACAGATTGGAGGAGACTAAGGACACATAACTAAATGCAATATGGAATCCGGACCAGAAAACACTTTCCTTAGTGGAAAAATTGGTGAAATTCAAATAAGGTTTGTAGATGAGTTCATAGTATTGTTTCAGCATTAATTTCCTAGCTCTGATATGTGTAGTATGGCTTGTAATATGTTAACTTTAGGAGAATCCAGGTGAAGGAGCTATCTGTACCATTTTTGCAACTTTTCTGTAAATATAAAATTAAAATGTTTTTTAAAATGAGAGATTAAAATGAAATTATTGGCTGGGCACTGTGGCTCACGCCTGTAATCCCAGCACTTTAGGAGGCCGAGGCGGGTGGATCACCTGAGGCCAGGAGTCGGAGACCAGCCTGACCAAAACATGGTGAAACCCCATCTCTACTAAAAATACAAAAACTAGACAGGCATGGTGGTGGGTGCCTGTAGTCCCAGCTCCTCAGGAGGCTAAGAGGAGAATTGCTTGAACAGGGAAGTGGAGGCTGCAGACCGCCGAGATCGTGCCACTGCACTACAGCCTGGGCGACAGAACGAGACTCCATCTCAAAATAAACAAAAAATGAAATTATTATGGAAAATATAAGCGATGTTGAAAGGAAAGAAGGGAAGGAACAAGAAGTGATTTGTTGACTGATTTGGGAGGATGGGTGCTTGGAGTAAAACTTGATGATCATGTATATTCAAAAATAACATTTTTGTGGTAGCTGGAAAAAGGTGCATTATATAATGGGGAGGTCTGGAAGAGTAGCTGGTTTTGTGGAAGATAAACATTTTTTGCTATCTTTTAATTATGCAAAAATTAAACTTGTGGGTAATTAGGATAAAATAGTGCTCAGACATGAGTTTGACATGTAATGAGCCACCTTTCATCCTACCAGATTTGGTGTCCCAGAGATGAGACATAGTGTCAAGCGTTCCCACTCCCAAACCAAGCTGCATCACATGCTTCGTGTAAATATGAAGGTCTTGGATGTTCAAGCCACATTTGAGCTTATCGTGTGTATTTGAGGACTGAGGCAAATCATACTAAAGGATAGGATATTTGTAGAAAACTGGAGAAACTGAAAACAATGCCCAAATTAAATAGAAAAATTGTTTTGATACTTGCTAAGATATATATTTTTAAATTTGTAGGTACCAAAGATAATACTAAGAGATGTAATCTCAGAGAAAAAATTTCCAAATACATGGACAGAGCGGAAAACATAAAGAAGTACGTGGAGCAAGAAAAAGAAGGTAAAGAGGCTGTTTTAGAAAACATCCGTAAACAACTACGATCGTCCATTCACCCAGTGTTCCTGGCTCCTGCCCTTTGGAGCTCTGTGTGGTCTGGACCAGTGGTCCCTGGGAGCTTACAGGATTTAATCTGCATTTCCACTCCCATATAGGAGTTGTTCTTAATTGTTTGTTTGTTTGTTTGTTTGTTTTAGTTGGGGGTGGGAATGTCAGATATCCCTTTGACCTTTGAACATCCGATGAAAGCTATACATACTGGAGAATGTTACATGCCATTTTTTAAGGGGTTCACAAATCCGTATGAAGCTTATGTGTGGACCCTGTGTTAAGAAATACTACAGAGGAATACTGAATGTAAATTGTGTATTTTATTTATATTTCCCTTTATGAAATGACCAAAATCATGAAAGAAGCTAAAGAAACTCCTGGGATTTCCCTCAGATTTTGTTGTGAATCAAAACACCTCAGGAGTTAAGCATTCCTAATGATTAGAGGTCAGATAGGTATTGTTCCCTATTGATTATTAGTTCCCTACTCCTAAGCATCCAGTTTACAAATGTCTGCAAATGGCCATTTCCACCCTTACCTGAGTGCATACTTGCTGCTTTCTATAGCCAAAGGTACTGCTGCCCTGAAAAGCCACTGCCCCAAGGCCCCAACTTTTCTTCCCCTCTATGCTTTCTACACCCCTTTCCCCATCTCTTCCTACTATTCTGTATCAGTACATCCCCTGGGGATCTCCCACTGAGCTCCTTTGTTCAGTGGGAATAAAATTGTGTTTCCTTCACCCCAATTTGAAATTTAGAATGAAATTTTACTCCAAAACATTGATGAAATATAGTACCTTCAGCATTGTGGTTTTGAGTACATGGAATTAAATTAACCTCTATGTGGCTATCTTGGCTTAAAAAATAAGGCATAGTTGGCCGGGCGCGGTGGCTCACGCCTGTAATCCCAGCACTTTGGGAGGCCGAGGCGGGCGGATCACAAGGTCAGGAGATCAAGACCACGGTGAAACCCCGTCTCTACTAAAAATACAAAAATGAGCCGGGCGTGGTGACGGACGCCTGTAGTCCCAGCTACTCGGGAGGCTGAGGCAGGAGAATGGTGTGAACCCAGGAGGCGGAGCTTTCAGTGAGCCGAGATCACGCCACTGCACTCCAGCCTAGGCGACAGAGCGAGACACCGTCTCAAAAAAAAAAAAAAAAAAAAGAAAAAAAAAAAAAGAAGGCATAGTTGCCAACATTATCTCTGTGGAAATATTTGGAACAGAATCCAAACTACTGATTTTTAAACAAAGTGTAAAGTATAATTTAGGGGCTACCGTATAATTTAGGGAGTAGCATTAGGGGTCTTTTTTTTTTTTTTTGAGACGGAGTCTCGCTCTCTTGCCCAGGCTGGAGTGCAGCGGCATGATCTCGGCTCATTGCAACCTCTGCCTCCTGGGTTCAAGCAACTCTTCTGTCTCAGCCTCCCGAGTAGCTGGGACTACAGGCACCCGCCACCACGCCTGGCTCATTTTTGTATTTTTAGTAGAGTCGAGGTTTTGCCATATTGGTCAGGCTGGGCTCTTAACTCCTGACCTCAGGTGATCCTCCCATCTCGGCCTCCCAAAGTGCTGAGTTCACAAGTGTGAGCCACTGCGCCCAGCCAGGGGTCATATTTTTTTAAAACCTTAAAGGTTTCTGATAACTTTTCAATGTTCATTTTGAATTAACAAAAGCAATCGATCTATCTTATTGATCCTGAGACATCCCCGTCTTTAGCTTGGGTTATTAAGAAGTACTGGCAATAGATCTATCTTATTGATCCTGAGACATCCCTATCTTTAGCTTGGGTTATTAAGAAGTACTGTAAATTTCTGTTTAAAACCCTACACGTGCCAAGAAAGACTTCGAAGCTCCATATTATACTGTATTCATGTTTTTTCTTTTTTCTTTTTTTTTTTTCAGGCAGAGTCTTGCTCTGTTGCCCAGGCTGGAGTGCAGTGGTGCAATCTCAGCTCACTGTAACCTCCACCTCCTGGGTTCAAGTGATTCTCCTGCCTCAGCCTCCCAAGTAGTTGGGACTACAGGCGCCTGATATCACGCCTGGCTACTTTTTATATTTTTAGTAGAGGCGGGGTTTCACCACGTTGGCCAGGCTGGTCTCAAACTCCTGACCTCAAATGATCTACCTACCTCAGCTTCCCAAAATGGTGGGATTACAGGCTGAGCCACTGCGCCCTGCCCTGCATTCATGTTTAATACTCACTTTAGTTATTAGATTACAAGACATAAAAAGATAAGTCTGAAGAGAAGGACCAGAGAGCCACTGAGTTACAGTATGTGGTGCTACCCATGGTGACAGAAGTTATTGGATACCTTTATACATACACTACTCCCTTCAGCAAACTGCCTGGTCTATAGGATCCGGCTCAAGGACCTGTTCCAGGAAACCTCTGGATTTTCACCCCTGCCTAGCCTCTGTGAAGGCAGAAATCACTAATGTAATGGTTTGCCTTAAATACGTTTGTATGTGTAACATCCTGCAATGTGCATGATATTTAGTAGGCATTCAATAAGTATTTGCTGAATGAATAAGTGAAAAAAATTAATGTGTATCTGATGCTGATTAATCACTATATATAAAATATAAAATGTGTAAAAAAAAATGGTCACTGGTTTTACCGTTGAAGCCTGTGTTTTATAGATGGAAAATATCACAAGCAAATTAAAATAGAAGAGAACGCAACAGGCTTCAGTTACGAGTCACTTTTTCGCGAATATCTTAATGAGACAGTGACAGAAGTTTGGATAGAAGATCCTTATATCAGGCATACTCATCAGGTATGTGAACGTACTAAAATATAATGAAATATTATATTCAGTGCACTAAGTTAGTAATAATCCATTCTAATGTCTTTTAGCTGTATAACTTTCTTCGATTTTGTGAGCTGCTTATTAAGAGACCATGTAAAGTAAAAACTATTCACCTTCTCACCTCTCTGGATGAAGTAGGTACCTGAAAGCACTTACTCTTTCTTATTAACTTTATTCAGTTACAAGATGTAGTCCCGTCAAGGAAAACACAGATGCAGTGCTTCAGTTAGATTTATTTCCTTGGGAATTAACTTATTATCTAACAGTATGCACAGCATGTCATGAAAAAATGTTACTGATTTTAGGATGCTGATTTTGTATTTGGCCACTTTGCTAAATGCGCTTATTCAAATAGTTTGTTAGTTTAGTCTCATGGATATTCTAGGAGGCAATCACACTGTCTGCACTATGGACAATTTTGTTGCTTTACCAATTATTATATCTGGGGGTTGGTAGCATGATGTGGTAGTGGGTATCTCTATCTTGATTTTGACTTAAAATAGGAATGCTTCTAAATAATTATGACTTCTACGATTGATTTCAAAAGAAGTCAGCTCCACCTGGATGACTAAAACTATTCCAAACTACATTTAAGGAGACAGGATGGAGTTATGTCCACATTAGAAAAGAAAATTATTTTGATAAAAACAATTGCTCTTTAAACTACCTCACATTGTTTAGTTGCTTCTTTGAGATAGTAGGCATTGAAACAAGTATAGAACATTTCCATCTTAATCCACCTATGATATAGATTGTATAGCTTAGGGATAGTTTAAGATAACAATAATAACTGAGGCAGATAATCGTATTTTTGCAATTAACAGGGCACTGAGCAAGTGCAGCAAAGTAGGGGCCTGCAAGAAATAGAAGAGTCACTCAGGAGTCATGGAGTGCTGTTGGAAGTGCAGTACTCTTCTTCAATACATGACCGAGAAATTAGGTTAGTCCACAATAATGTTTTAATTTTTATGCAGTCGATGTATACTTAAAAAATTTTAAAAATGTTTTATATAACTGCATATATTTAAATATTTATTTATAAATATTTAAAATTTAAAAAAAACTCCATTTAGTAATTTTTCACTTTTGAGAAGGAAAAAAAACACTTGGCTTGCTTTTGGACAAAGTAAGCCAAGTGTTTTGTGTATGAGTTTAATATTTCCTAATGGAGTAATATTTACATATTCTGTGTCATAGAGAAAAAGAGAATACTTTTCTGTCTACTCAACTGTATATATAGTGTTACGATATTAGGATAATTTATTTTCTGGTGAACTTAATATTTACTGTGGCTTTACTTCTTATGGGTTATTAAATATTCTAGTATGCATGACAATTTGCTGAGTCTATAAGAAAACAGAATATGTGGTTATTTTAGTGATATCTTCCTTTTGTTTAGCACAGTGGTTATATGTTTATAGCAAGGGCGCTCAGTTTTAATAAAAACTTAATCACAAACTAAATATGCCAAACAGATGAAAATGCAGCTGCTGTAGTTAAAGCAGAGGTCAGGGCCCTGGGCTCCTCCTGCACATTCCCCATCTCTAGCTAGGGGAAACTCTTGAAACACCACCAGTTGCCCTGAATACACTTTGCCACCACTTGTTAGCAGAACACGAAAAAGTTTTATCAACAAGCTGAAATTCAAGGTTAAACTATCAGATAATTAAATCAATTGATTGTTTCTATGACTGTTTTCATTGTGGACACAGCTCATAACGAACCCCAGGTTTGATTCAACTCAAGCCACTGGAGGAAGTGGTTTGCTTTGTTGGGGGAAATTTTGCTGACACTTAATACACTACAGCTTTATTAATAGTCTGACTTTAATGTCTTGAATATGATACTATATACTAATTTCAATAGGTTCAACAATGGATGGATGATTAAGATTGGAAGGGGACTTGATTATTTTAAGAAACCACAGGTAGGATATAATCTTATGAGTAAATGTGTAGCACTGTTTTTGTATCATTTTTAATGATACTCTTTTCTTCTCTTCTTAGAGTCGTTTTTCTCTTGGATATTGTGATTTTGATTTAAGACCATGTCATGAAACAACAGTGGACATTTTTCATAAGAAACATACAAAAAATATATGATGGGCAGTAGCCTAATTTGTATTATGTCTACTTTATGTGAATATTGGATTTTTTTTAAAAGATCACTTTTATAATATATGAATTTAACAATAAACTTTTATATTTCTACTAATTTATGGATCCATCATTCGGTTGTGGGAAAAATCCTAAATATTTTTGTAAATATGTTACTCAGTAGATTTACGTTTCTTTCAAGTAATACAGCTAATTTAAACATGTTACCAGCTTTTCTGTTACTTGGCTGCGGGAGCATGTCAACAAATAATGAGCCTTTATTAGGAAGATGAATTAGATCTTTTTTTTTTTTTTGAGACGGAGTCTTGCTCTGTCGCCCAGGTTGGAGTGCAGTGGCCGGATCTCAGCTCACTGCAAGCTCCGCCTCCCAGGTTCACGCCATTCTCCTGCCTCAGCCTCCCGAGTAGCTGGTACTACAGGCACCCGCCACCTCGCCCGGCTAGTTTTTTTGTATTTTTTAGTAGAGACGGGGTTTCACCGGGTTAGCAAGGATGGTCTCGATCTCCTGACCTCGTGATCCGCCCGCCTCGGCCTCCCAAAGTGCTGGGATTACAGGCTTGAGCCACCGCGCCCGGCCGAATTAGTTCTTAATTTTGCCTGTGGGAGTTTTGAGTCTAGGAGGGAAAGACACCATGGATTAGAGTGCTTTTAAAGAGACAGATGGAGCTTGGGCAACCTGTTTCTGCAAAAAAAGAAAAAAAAGCCGGGCATGGTGGCACGTGCCTATAGTCCTAGCTACTTGGGAGGCTGAGGTGAAAGGATCACTTGAGCTTAGGAGGTCCAGGCTGCAGTGAGCTGAGATTGCACCACTGCACTCTAGCCTGGGTGACAGAGCCAGACCCTGTCTCAAAAAAAAAAAAAAAAAAAAAAAGACAGATGGGCTTGGGGTCTAATAAACAGGAAAGTAAAATGTTAATTTTGTTACAATTAAGATAACTGTCACCGGGCGCGGTGGCTCAAGCCTGTAATCCCAGCACTTTGGGAGGCCCAGACGGGCAGATCACGAGGTCAGGAGATCGAGACCATCCTGGCTAACACGGTGAAACCCTGTCTCTACTAAAAATACAAAAATTATCCGGGCGTGGTAGCGGGCGCCTGTAGTCCCAGCTACTCGGGAGGCTGAGGCAGGAGAATGGCGTAAACCCGGGAGGCAGAGCTTGCAGTGAGCTGAGATCTGGCCACTGCACTCCAGCCTGGGCAACAGAGCAAGACTCCATCTCAAAAAAAAGATAACTGTCTTTGGTAAACGTTTACCATCATGCAGTTGTGCAATATTACCTAACTCCATAGAGGCAAATCCACCTATTCAGTTATCCAAATGCATTTTGCAGCTTACTCACTTTGGCTGGCACATTTGTAAAGCCTTGCAGCTTAGAATCAACTGTTCTGGGTGAGTTTTCATCCAGATGCCAGTTGTGTGGTTGGAGACAGAATAGATTCCATGGAGACAGGCTGGAAGAGGGGTTGTATGCTAGAGGTAGCGAGTAGTCCACAGCTCAAAGAACATGCTGGCTAGGCACAGTGGCTCACGCCTGTAATCTCAGCACTTTGGGAGGTGGAGGCAGGTGGATCACCTAAGTCAGGAGTTTGAGACCAGCCTGACTAACATGGAGAAACCCTGTGTTTACTTAAAATACAAAATTAGCTGGCTGTGGTGGCACATGCCTGTAATTCCAACTACTCGGGAGGCTGAGGCAGGAGAATTGCTTGAACCCTGGAGGCGGAGGCTGCAGTGAGCGGAGATTGTGCCATTGCACTCCAGCCTGGGCAACAAGAGTAAAACTCCATCTCAAAACAAACAAACAAACGAACAAAAAAACCCAGCTAAGCTAACATATGTAAGAGGAAAACTATAGTACCAGTGTTCAGTATTGGAGAGTGCACATACAAATGTCACATCTGAGGACTATACAGAGTTAAATGGTGTAGAGGACCGAAGGTAGAGACATGGGAACAAGGTTGGACAGAGTGGTCTTGGGCAAGCCTTGGAGACTATGTTTTCCTTTTGTGAGACAGTTGGTAGGTACAAGATGGCATAAAAGGCCAGGAAGGGCTTCCAGAACAGTTCTTGATTTTTTTTTTTTTTAATGTTTTCAGGTTCAAGTGCTGATAATACTGAATCTGAAAAATTTTAGACTCAAACTAATTTGCTAAGCTTTATCATATGGAAGTTCAGGGTCTCAGGAAAACACTTGAACAAGTGTTGGTCTGATCCAAAGTTCCTTTCTGCAGAGTATCTTAGTTTATCTTGCCTGGTACCTGATGCCATGTGGAAATGGAGTAGCTCTTAATTAAGGTAAGAACATGTGTTAGGCCTCTTTACCTTCATGTTAAAATAACAATTCCGATTTCTAAAGCATATCAATCTGTTACTATGGAGAATTAGCAATCCACAACCCTGTGCAATTAACTTTTATCCAACTTCTGTAAAAATCCTGGCTAAGACATAGTGATATTTAAAGAAAAGAGTCTACAGACATGCTATCCATTCTAGACATTTGGAGTTCTATCCCAAGATCTATTTAGGGCACCAGAAGCCTACCAGGTACAGCTTAAATATATCAGGAAATGTATAAGAACTATGTGAACAGCTGTAAGCTTTATGGAAGGATATAAAAGAAAATTAGGGGAACTAGAAAGACAAATTGTATTCCTGAATGGGAAGACTTAATGTCAGTTCTAACTTAATTTATAAATTAAACAACAAAAGAGTAACACCAGGAGACTTACTTGACCAGCTATAAAGACATAGCTACAATAATTTTCTTAAAAATGTAGGGGCATAGGCACGGGCAAATAAATCAGTGGGACAGAATAAAAGAGTCCAGAAACACATTTGAAAGAGAGAAATCGAATGTATATGTGTGAGTATTTAATATATAGTAAAGGTGACATTTTGAGTTAGTGGAGAAAGAACTCAACAAATGGTTGGAAAAAAATAACATTAAGGCCTCTGTCTTACTCCGCATAAAGAAATTTTTCTATAATGACATTGACATCATATAAAGAAATAATTCTAAATGTATTACAGAGCTAATTAATGAAAAATGTATATACATATATTTTAAAACCCCACTTAATGAACCGAGTATAACAGAAAGCCCCTGAACTGTTAAGAGCAAAAGACTTGGTCATGTAAATATACAAAACTTGAGTAAAAAGGAAACATAAACTAAGTTAAAAAAAAAAATGAGAGATCAAATTTATAAAATTATAAAGAGTCAGTATTCCTAATATATAAGGATGATGGCCAGATTTTTGGCAGTGACCTTGACCTGACCTCCTTTAGCCTCCACAAGGACTTGGGCCTTAGAGCAGTCTCTCCTGCTGTACTGCATCGTTCCTATCAGTACACACATCTCGAGCCAGATGCCACCCTATTTTTTCGTTCTTCATGAAAAACTTCTTGAAAGAGTGCTCTCTGTTTTGTTTTGTTTTCTTATTTCCTCACCACCTATTCACTTTAACTCACTTCAGTCTGGCTACTGCCCCAATTACTCCACTGACATCGTTTTTGCTAAGGTCAACAGTGATCTCTATATCACCATATTCAATGGGCACTTTTTTTGTTTTGTTTTTTTTTTTGAGATGGAGTCTCGCTCTGTCGCCCAGGCTGGAGTGCAGTGGCCGGATCTCAGCTCACTGCAAGCTCCGCCTCCTGGGTTTACCCCATTCTCCTGCCTCAGCCTCCCGAGTAGCTGGGACTACATTAGCTGGTACTACAGGCACCCGCCACCTCGCCCGGCTAGTTTTTTGTATTTTTTAGTAGAGACGGGGTTTCACCATGTTAGCCAGGATGGCCTTGATCTCCTGACCTCGTGATCCGCCCGTCTCGGCCTCCCAAAGTGCTGGGATTACAGGCGTGAGCCACTGCACCCGGCCTCAATGGGCACTTTTAAACTCTCATATCATGTGACCTTTCAGAAGCACTTGACCCAGTTGGCTACTCCCTTCTTAGAACTCTTGACTTTCATGAAACATACTTTCTTCCTCCATTCTTCTTATATTTTAAATACTGAAGTTCTCCCAAGCTAGGTACTAGGTGGTAACCTTTTTTTTTTTTTATTCACACTCTTTCCCTGATTACACAGTAAGTGTTCTTAGTAAAAAGCAATGAAAACTGCTCCTACCTGATATAAGCAAAAAAGGGGTTTATTACAAGAAGAGTAGGTAGTTAAGCTATAGACTGAGACATAGAGGTTTTGGAGTGAAAAATCACATCTAGAATCACTACCCAGAACTAATCAGATGACACTCCTGCTGACACTGATGCAAAGGCTGGATGCAGTAGCCTGCATCACTGACATCACTGGCATGGAGACTACCACTGCCAGCCTGCCTTCATGACCCCAGAAATTCAGGCCCCTGTCGCTACTTCCAGAGAAGGGTTCTCATCATTCCAGATGTTCTGCATCACTACTGTCGAATTCAAAGTATGGAGCAGTTGCATCTGATTGGCACAGCTTAAGTCATGTGCCCACGCCTGTGCTTCGAGGAAGGCTAGAAAAGAGTATAGTAAACTTTTGTTTCCACAGAAGGAAGTAGGCTCTACCTCCTACGAGGTGGAGAGGTCCCCAAACATATAAGGGGACTCAGATGCTGAATATTTAATAGTTTAAAATTTAAACTTTAGATGAATTATAAAAGTCCAAAATTACTCATTCTCATGACTTGAAGTACTATTTACATGCCGTTAGCCCTCAAATTTATAAATTAGGCCAAGACTTCTCCTTGGAGTTCTTATTCAACTGCCTATGACATCTCAGAAGCACACAAACATTTCACACATAATATACCCCAACCAAACTTTTCATATATACTCCCCTACTCCCCACATATGCTCTCATCCATCCAATCTCAAATAAGAAATCTAGGAGTAAAGGCCAGGTGCAGTGGCTCACACCTGTAATCTCAGGACTCTGGGAGGCTGAGGCAGGGAGATCACCTGAGGTCAGGAATTCAAGAACACCCTGGCCAACATAGTGAAACCTGTCTCCACTCAAAATACAAAAATTACCCCGGTGTGGTGGTGCAGCTACTTGGGAGGCTGAGGTGGGAGGATCACTTGAACCCAGGAGGCAGAGGTTGCGGTGAACT